GGGTGCACCTCCTTATCCCCATCTGTGCGTCCTCGCGACCGCACATATCGATAGCTGGCGCCCAGTGGATAAATAAAAATGTATCCGCTCACCAGCTCTGGTCACTAAGTGACCAGCGCGGGTGAGTAGATAAATTTCTCTAAATATTCGCGCACTCCTGTTCGAAGACCCTACATTGTATTACCAAATACGATAAAGGGTAGTGCGGGATATTCCTTCGAAAGCTATTCGAAGTAGTTGCGGATGACGACAGTGGTTCCTCTATAGCGTACCCTGCAGCCTACGGAAGTAGACGACATAATACGTTTTGTAAGCCCCATTTCGTTTTCCCAAACGTTGAAACAATTCATTATGTCAGTGCGCTCGAAGCCCGGAATTCATTGATTGCAACTGCAATGACAGCTAAATTATGGTTTTACAAAAAACTGACATTTGTTTAGGTAACATGCCGTCAGCACGCTTATCCTACGTTATCCAGGGGATTACACACGTTTAAAACGTCTCTTTTAAGCAAAAAAAAAAAAAAAATTAGGCGTTTAAAACGACAGCTTAGAAGGTTTTTTTTTTGTGTGTTCTCGGCACAACGCAATAGTCTTGTAATGATTTCTTGGCTGCATGCGAATATCGTCGGTTGTGAGAGGCTGTTCAGTGGCTCATGCCACTACCGTTACGGAAGTCGAAGTAACAAGAAAAATGAGCCTGCAGGCGATTCGAAAACGTTATAGAAGAGGCATTTGTGAGGGTCACTTCTAGACGAAAAAAAAAGAAATAGCAATAAGAAAAATGCACCTGATAGAAAGTACGCACAAAACGACTCCCTCGGCGCCGGCAATGGTTTAAGCGGTATTGCAAAAAAAAAAAAAAGAAGCTTGGGCACTCTACATTTATAATAATAATAATTTATTTTCCTTTTTTTTACAAAGGAGGGAGATAGGGCAAAAAGCTGCGTGGCTTGCAGCTTGACGAGGCCCTGCTCCGTGTAGCAAAGCAGCAGAGACATTTCAAAACAGGACACGCAAAAAACAAAGTACTACACCTTATTGCATCGATTATCTACAAAAAAAAGTCTTTAACACTGTTTTCCAATAGCATTTCGCGTAGCATACCCTTTGATTTTTTGTAATGTCAATATTTTCACCTTCGAGCTCATTTAAAAGTGACGGTAGTGTATGTTTTAAAGAAGTTAGTCCATAGTTCGTGCGGGAAGTAGTAACACACCAGCCCTCACTGTGTCTAGTTTCATACGTCTGGGTTGTTCTCTCCAGGCCCGACAGCACAGAAAGAAAAAAGTTGTTATTTTGTTTTACTGCCGTGCTGTAGACTCCCATCAAACGATAGTTGTACAAATGCTTAATTGTCACAGCTTTATGTTTACGAAAAAGCTCCTCAGAAGAATGCAAACAAGAAACATTTTCAATTATGCGAAATACTTTCTTCTGTGTTAGTAGCAGTGTTGTTAAGTTTTGTTTCGTTGTGGTTCCCCAAACCAGGTGACAGTACACGTAATGTGTGTAGATCAGAGAGTAATACGAGAGCAACCTCACTCGCGCGGGAAACATAAAACGAGTTTTTGATATTATTCCTATGGCTTTGCAAACCTTCCGGTGGATATACTCAACGTGTTCAGTCCAAGAGAGTGATTCGGTAAAAATGACACCAAGAATTTTAACTGATTTTGCAATCTCTAAGGGAGATGAATTCATCGTGATATTTAAAGGCAACGATATTTTACGATTCCGTGGTCTAAACAGTACGCATTTAGTTTTGTCTGTGTTTATTTTTAGTCCATTGACTTGCGTCCATAAGTTTAGATTTTCAAGAACAACTGCCGCGGTACTTTCGATCTCAGAAGTTGTTTGACCTTTAATAAAAAGAGTAGTATCATCTGCGTATGAAAAGAATTTGACGTTTGGTGCGCATTGTTTGATATCATTTATAAACAATACAAACAACAGCGGCCCAAGTACACTCCCCTGGGGGACTCCAGTCACAATTCTTTTGGTTGCTGAATTATAATTATTTATGCTAACAAACTGCGTACGATGTTCCAAATATGATTTAAAAAGTTTAAGTCCAATTCCTCGGATGCCATAGTGCTCCAACTTTTTAATTAGTAGTTTATGATTAATTAAATCAAATGCCTTAGAAAAGTCAACATACACACCTAGAATAAGCCCTTTATCCTCGATAGATTTGAGTATTTCTTCCTTTTGCATTAACAGCGCTGTTTCAGTTGAACGCTTCTTCCTAAAACCGTGTTGAAAATCGGAGAGTATGTGATGTTTTTCTAGATAACAAGAAAGTCTGTGATGCATTATTTTTTCAAGACCTTTAGAAAAGATTGATAACAAGGAAATCGGTCTATAATGTTTAAATGTGTTCTTGTCGCCGCCTTTGAATATAAGCACAACTTTCGCAACCTGCATAGCGTTTGGAAAGCAACCAGTTGACAGGGATACGTTAAATATATGCATTAATACAGGCGCAATTATCTCAATAGCATACTTGATTACTTTGATGTCAAAGCCGTTAACAACGCGACTCTTGCAATTTCTTAAGTTCCTGAACACGGCACAGACCTCTCTTTCGTCCGTCGGATATAAAAAGAAAGTATCTGTAAAATAACGATTTATATAACCACAAGGACCAAGCTCACTTTCCAGCACCGCAACATCATCTGCTATGCTAACTAAGTAATTATTAAAAGCATTCAACAGAGAACACCCAGAGAGAGTACCCTCTTCACAGGTCACTTCATCTAAAGTATCTTCATTCGTATACGGTTTAATTACGCTGTTAATTCTTTTCCAGAGTATTCCTGCCTCTTTATTATCATCTTTTTTGAAGAGGTTTATATAATAACTTGACTTTGAACGTCTCAGTAGATTAACAAGTTTATTTCGATACGTTTTAAAAGCCTTTAAATCATCTGGGTTTCTTGTTTTCAAGAAATGCTGAAACAGACTGTTTTTTTTATCTATTTTATTCAAAAGCTCCCTTGTCATCCAAGGCTTGCGAATTCTTTTACGCTGCTTAACCGTCCTGTATGGGAAACTCTCCTCGTACAGATTTTGAAATGTCTGTAGAAAGGTTTCGTACGCGAGGTTCGCGTTTGTTTGCAAATATACTTGGTTCCAGTCAGTTACGCTTAAGGACGCCTTAAAGTTTTCTAGAGTAGTGCTTGTTATGTTTTGAATTTGAAGAGTACGCTGCGCTGAACGTTTCTTATGTTTACGAGATTTGTGTATCAACATAAATATCGCCAGATGATCACTGATATCAGTAATAACAGCGTTAGCGGTGATGGAGGACACGTCATGGTTGCTAACAAAAAAATCAATGAGTGTGGACGTAGTACATGTAATTCTTGTTGCTCCGGTTGCCATAATTTTAAAACCATTAAGGGCAATGACTGAGTCAAGTGCTTGCCTATAAGTTGTATTTTCAAGCATGTTGATGTTGAAATCTCCGCCAAGAAAAAGAATGTACTTGTTTTCTACTACAAAGTTTAGGAAGCCGTCAAGGAAGTTAAAAAAAGTCGCCGCGATTCCAGATGGTGGACGATAAACCACAGCAAATACATATGTGCCAGAGCGCAAACACAAGAACTCAAAGTCACCCGTAACTTGAGTAAATTCTGATACAAGTTCGCATTTGTACTCATTTTGTACAAGCAATGAAACACCACCACCTCTTTTTTTATCTCGGCGAAGTGAATAATGCTGATACCCCGGCAAAGTAAAAATGCAAGACTCATCAGTGTACCAAGTTTCCGAAAACATAATAACCGAGAAAGAAAAACCAAGACGATCAAACAATAGATGCAGATCGTCATCCTTTTCTTTGGCTGATCGAACATTCAAGTGAAAAAAAGATAAAGAAACGGGTTGCTTCGATTCAATAAAGCGTGCAAAGTCAAGCGGGGCGATAGCAACTTGGGGCTGAGATACAAGGCGTCCAGTCATTGAAGTAGCTTTCCTTCCTGCAGCTTACCTAAAGATGGGCAATGTCGCCTTCGTTTTTTATATGAATCGCCCGTGCCCCTTCAGTTTTTCGCACAAGAACCTTTCCGCCTGTGTACTATGCGAAGGCATATCCTTTTTCTTTTGCCTGATCTTTCGCTTTTTGAAGAAGCTCCCTGTTGCGTCTTGTCAGGTTTTCTTGAATATAAACACGTGGCATACTGTTCTTTAAGGCATTTTTTTTCTTTAGCCACGCGTCTCGGTCCTGTTGCCTGGTAAAATGAACAATAATACCGGGGACGTTACCCTGCCTCGCGGGCAGCCTGTGAGCAGAAACAATATCGTTCTGTGTTATTTCGGGGACCTCAAGTTTATTAGCAACTTTGTTTAACAAGACCATCAGGTCCTCGCCCTGCTCCCCAGAGACCCCGTGGATTTCAAGATTCAGTCGTCCACTCCTGAATTCCAGTTCGTTCACCTCCTGCAGGAGCCGCTCCTGCGTTACTCTGTTCTCTTCGTCTCTCTCCTCCAGCTCTGTCACTCTTTTTTTAAGTTCTTTGATATCTGTTTTATGACGTTTGATCTTTTTCTCAAAGTCGTCGAACTGCTTAGACATGTACTGGATGGAATTTTCCATGGTCTCTACTTTTGCGTTTAGGAGGGGCAAGCATTCCAGCTTCTGGTTGATCGACGCTAGAACAGACGCTATATTAAGTTCAGATTGGTTGTCCTCACTGCAGCTAGCACGCGGGGACCCGCTCCTACACAATGGACACCGCCAGGTCTTTTTTGCGTCCGCTTTTTTTGCCTTGTAAGATTTCTCAGCGATACCTGCACATTTTCCGAAATGGTATGTGCTCGTACACTCCGTACACTTTAGGGACCCCTCCTCGTCCTCCACGATGGGTGACCGACATGCCGAACATATACTGGACATCCTAGCAAAGCACGAAAACACGGCACTAACAATTCGGCAGGGGCAGTGGCAGCGGCGGCAGCGGCAACATGGGTTACGCCAGAGTTGTAAAGAAGGAATGTTTACCGACCTGCAACAGTTGATGTAGTCAGATTAGCGAGGTTCTCCAGTTGCCGCCGCCGCTGCCAAATGACCACCGTGATGGAAACACCGCGCTTATCTGCTGTCGATGCCCAGAAGTGCGCCTGCGCCGGCAGAGTCCGTTGCAGTTTCAGGGTTTGCAGAGCAGCACAGTAGGACCGCCGACGAAAAAGCAGCAGAACTTGGGCGAGAGCAGTCGCCACAGCACCGGCAGCTTGGTTGAAGGAAGCGAGTATGGCAGAGTCCAGCGCGGTTTCAAGATGACACTGCAACAGTCGATGTAGTCAGATTAGCGAGGTTCTCCAGTTGCCGCCGCCGCTGCCAAATGACCACCGTGATGGAAACACCGCGCTTATCTGCTGTCGATGCCCAGAAGTGCGCCTGCGCCGGCAGAGTCCGTTGCAGTTTCAGGGTTCGCAGAGCAGCACAGTAGGACCGCCGACGAAAAAGCAGCAGAACGTGGGCGAGAGCAGTCGCCACAGCACCGGCAGCTTGGTTGAAGGCAGCGAGTATGGCAGAGTCCAGCGCGGTTTCAAGATGACACTGCAACAGTCGATGTCGTCAGATTAGCGAGGTTCTCCAGTTGCCGCCGCCGCTGCCAAAATGATGAAGGTGATGGTCGGGTATGATGCATAATGAAAGCAGAAGCAAGACGAACGCAATAATAATAAAAAAAGAGCTCAGCTAACTTGACTTGCCCAATGCACTGTATTGTATTATCTGTTTCTTTCAGTCGAGGCTCCGCTCCCGGTCGTCTTTGAGTTTGAGGACACCCGACTGCGATGGCTTTGCGTGCTTTGAAGGCGGCCTTTTTGATTGTCTCTAAGAAGCTCTTTCTTGATTGGTAAAGAGCGTGGTCTCTGGTCTTTACGGGCTCCGTGGATGCCATAAAAGGGCATATAATGAAGCGCTCCCCTTTCCTTTCCGTTCAAAGCCTACTGACCAGACTTGTGCTCGGTACTTGAAAAATGTAATGGATTACAATTAGAAATTGCCGTGCCTCGAATGTAATGGACGACCGTTACAAACTCTTTCGCTGAAAAGTAACGGACTACTTTACTCGTTACGTTACAAATTACTTTCACGTTACTTTTTCTGTACACTTATCCAGAGAACAATAAAAACCTGTTTGATATTTTTCAAGAAAATTCTGCAATACTACTTTTCATTCCTCATACGCCTTTATTATTTGTAAAAAAATTGTATTATAACTTACGTCCGAAAAAAGTAATGTGGCAAATACAAAATTACTTGAAGAAGTAACGGATTACAAGTAATTTGTTATTTGTAACGGATTATTTCCCAAGTCTGCTACTGACCGACTTCCTCGGCGAGTCCGCGTCGCGGTCCTCAGGAGACCGCTCAAAGCCGTCGAAAGTGCTCGCCTTGCAACTGGACCACCACCGGCTGGAATGACACCGTGGATCCTTATGTTACCAACCTTTTTTTGTTTTTTTTTTCCTGTCAAATCAATGCTCGGATTTCTTATACCGAAGATTCATCGGAATAATCTTAGTTAGGTGCCTGTTCCTCAACGGGTTATTAATATATAAGTGAATGCTATTTTAGCGAATGACACTTTAGCGAGTGAAGTCCTTTGGGTGAAGGGAAATTTTCGCGAATGAAGGTTTAGCAAATAGGCTGCTGTAGGCGGCGGCACACTGTAGGGCGTTTCGACAGGCGTGTGTCACTGGTATGCATTTTAACCCGTGCGGACCACCCGTTCACGCCGCTTCGTGGTGACAGACAAGGCGGCTCATTACAAAAAGAAGCTAAACCGAACTGTGAACAGTCAATCTAACTGCTGTTTGTACGTGGCAGCACGCTGTAGTGACATTTTGTCGCGGGTGTATCACTGAGACGCGTGTTAACCCAATTGCACCAGCTGTTCAAGCCGCTTCGCTACTACAGACAAGGCATCTCATTACAAATAGAAGCAAATCTGAGCTGTCGAGTTTCCTATAACCATGACGAGATAATGTTTATAGTTTAACATAATGTTTAACTATAGTTGATAGTTAGAAATCATGTTTAACTATAAACATTATAAGATATAGCAGTGCAAAAAATCCATTTGCGCTGTTTTAACTCATCATGCTTAACAACTACCAACAAACCAAGCTCTAAACCTTAATATAAATTTTACTATACAATTCGCTAATATGAACGCCGCCGTTGCGGTGGTCATAATAGCGGCGTGCGAATTCGCAGAGCGCGGTAAGTGGTGGTCTACAGTGCAGAGGAGCAGTAAATGCACGTTTTATAGCAGGCTGCATAAATTAATACCATTTTCTTTCACAGCGTGGTAAGCAAACAAAACTATCGCGTTTAGGAAGCTGTGGTTCTAACTGGTCCACCCCTTCGACGGATAAATGTCAGTTGGAACAGAACAAAACGAAACTCTGCACATTCACGGCTCAGGCAAATAAAACCAAATATGCGGCCTCCTTATTTCACGATGCGCTTCCTTATTTCGCGACGCCATACAACCACAACTATTTAAGTTAGCTTCTTGTTTGACGAAACATTTAACAAAATGACGTGTCAAAAAGATTAAAGACTAAATTTCTTCTACCTTTTTGTTTTTGATTTGCAGTGAGTGACCAAGACCAAGAAACGAAATGCTCTGGGCGAAGACGGCGACAAGAGCAGTTCCACATCCAGCGTCGCAAGCTCAGCCATGAAAGAGGCTCGTCGAAGCGCTGATAACACCACACCGAGCCTGTCGTCCACTACAGAAGCAGGACCTTCCGGCATTTGAACCGTCCATGAAGTTTCTGATATATCATGCTCAGAAAAACAAAGACCACGTTACCAGCCCATTTGGAAAAATACCGACACATAGACCTCCCGCAATGCCGAAAGTAACAAGGTGTTCTGCGAAACCTGTCGTGTGGCTTCCTAGAAAAAACTGCCGCTTTCTAACACTTCTCGCGACTAGGATACTCACCTAGCTTGTTTGTTACAAATGCCTTTTCCAAATGAAAAAAAGCTCTGCTCCGGTTTAAGAGTAATAACAGCTCTAACTTTCATTTAGAGGAATGCGGGGCCGTCGCACCTGCAAAAGGAGGCGTAAATGTCGTCTTTGCCTGTGTCAAGGGGAAGGTGAAACAAATTGCAGATGCGAGGCAGGTTCTCTGAGCAATATTGCCGTCTCTGCTCTACTTGTCAACCCCGGCGGTTGGCAATACGTGGCCCCGAAGACACAGAGAGTTTATACTTTCTGTTATCTAGTACATCTTACCAACACGCTCGTTAGGAATATAATTTGAATCAGTTGCTGAAACTCTGTGCTAATGACATGCCGTCGCTGCAATCGTTGCCTTAACGAAAAAAATACAAATAGATTTCCCATCAGACTCTAAACGATAACTTTGAACTCATGATACACGAGTTCAAAGTGCGTGAGGTATATCACTATTCGGTTATCCTGGACAAAACAGCACAAATTTCTGCCAAAGAACAGCTCTATTTGTTTTCGGGTCGTTGCCGATAGCTCTGAAGTCTGGGAGTTGTTTTCCGGATTATAAGCACGGCCGGCTGACACAATATCAGAGAGCCACTTTACTGTTTAAAAACATTCTTTGTCGGTTTAACTTGCAAGTGAACAAGTGCCGCGGCCAGTGCTATGACGGAGCAGCAAACATGGGAGTAAAACACTAGAGGAGTACAAGGTCTCATGCAAGAAGAAGAGCCACGGGTGCTGTATGTACACCGCCTAGCTCACGTCCTCAACTTGGGTTTGCAGGACGTCAGCCAGAAAGTGGATATGCGGCGTGACTTTTTGTACTTCGTGACCGAACTGATCATTTTCGTGACGTGCTCTCCAAAGCACGTGGACCTTTTTCAAACACTACAGACGGAGGAGGATGTGAACTTGCGAACATTTTGTCCCACGAAGTGAGCGTTAAAGGCCGCTTCCCTGCGATCACTTCTTTTCAATTAGGAAAGTTTTATCACATTGCTGCGGGAGGCAGCATCTGAAGAGTGAAATTAGCCTGGAGCAAAAGCAAGTGAACTTCTAAAATAGTTCTTCAAGTTTGACACTTTTTTGCACTCAAGCTTCTTACGATGGTTTGTTTCATGGATGGAAGCTCTGAACAGCGCCTAGCAGAAAAGGACGCTCAGATTTCACGAAACAGAGAAAATGGTGAAAGCCGTCCGCGAAAGCATCACTGAACTGCGGCAGGTCTTTGCCCACTTTCGGGAGTAAGCATTAAGAGAGGTTGACAAAGTGAACGTTGAGGATCCCTCTGTTACAGTACTGAGTCAAACAAGACCCCGCGCTGTTATAAGGAAGGCTCTGCTGCTCACGTATTTCCATCGGCGATGGACATGTACCGCCGGCGGTTTAACTAGGTGCTTGATACCATGCTGTCGTCATTGAGGGACAGGTATCCGCCTGGCGTATGAAAACATCTGGTACACATCCAACAGTTTGCCATAGGAAATGAAATATCACGAAATTCTCCGGGGACGATCTAGAACCAAGACGTTTGCTGCTACACAGTGACACGGCAATAGATATTGCAAAGCAGCACAACTCTGCACCCCTACAGACATTCCACGGCGTAGTGCAGATACTTTCGGGTGACAAAGGAATCTTGAGGAATCTTTTGAGGAATATTTTGCCGGAAATGGCAAAGTTAGTCAAAATTGCGTTGACTATATCCTTCACGTCATGCACCTCAGAGAGCTAATTTTCTTTTCTGCGGCGACTCAAAACCCATTTACGGTCGATGCTGGGGCAGACTCGATTGAACCACCAAGCAGTTCTTCACACTCACAAAGAGCTCTCCCGCAAAATAAATTTAAATGACGTGGGCCGCGAATTCATTAGCAGATGAAAGGCTCTAAACTCGTCAAACCCTAAATCGGGGCCAACTTTCACGGAGAGCACCGATTGGACCAATCTCGACGATGGCTTTGCACATTTGTCGCCAGCGTCCAGTCGGCGCACTCCGCGAGCTTTCGGCTCCAACTTTGTGTTTGACAAGTTTAGGGCCAAAAGTGTAAGAATGTTTACGCACTCCGCATCAGCGAAATCCTCACATTAAATAACGGACTGTCTGATGCGGCATTATGCTATCGAGTGTTTGTTTTGCGCTGTGTCGTTTGTTTGAACATAGTTTTAAATACTCACTTTTTGGACAATCTATTGATGAATGAAACAAGCTACCGTCCTGTGCTGTTAATTGGAAAGATATCGTGTCGTTCAACAAATAACTCGATGTTTTTTGTGCCTGAAATTATTACCCTTGTTGCGCTTTGTATTCAATTTTGTACCACTTTTGCCCTTGCCTAACGGCTATCAGAAACAATAAAAAAAACACGTTTTATCGATGATGTTACATAGTGCATCGGCAGATTAGTAATGCAGCTGAAGCAGTTTGCGTTTGTGTTTTGTTCGATCTCCAGTTCCTGTTTGTGTTATATTATTTATTAATTTACCTGAGTTAATATCATTCATTCTGTGTTTGTTTTATTCCCCCTAAAAATAAATGCACAACTTTTGCAGGTAGTCAAAGTATGCCGGTGTATTG